TGGCTTATACACTCTGCTTTTTGTGGGGGTCCTTTCAATTTAAAGAAAGCCAAATCCACATTTAAGACTTTACAGTTAGCCCTCAAACCTCAATGAACCATATTTTCATTGTAAGCATATTTTTTCAAAAATTAAAATCAAAGAAAGCTTTCTCCCTACCTGGCAAGCTTTAGAAGAGCAAAAGTTTATCCAATTTCAAAATGTAGCAATCAATATTGTGAAAGGGAAGAACAATGTTCCCAAGAAACTCTCAGGTTTGCTATCTTCTCCGTGTCTTGGAATTCAGCATTTCCACTTAGCAGCTTCACTTGGGTGAAGACTCTAGTAGTTGTTTTTGTGCAAGATTTAGAGGAATTAGATTTTGTTGATTTAAGGTTAGATTTTGTTATTGTGTTTGGCAGGGGGAGGACTTAATATGTCAAGTAAGCCCAGCACATTTGATAAGAGTTGTGGCGTGGTGACTGGAATGCAGTATTTGAGACTAATTCTGTCAACTGCCAGCAGTTTAATTATCATTGGCTCAAGGTTGACTCAGCCTTCTATCCTTCCGAGGTTAGTAAAATGAGGACCCAGATTGTTGGAGGCAATATGCTGACTTTGTAAACCTCTATAAAATGGTATATAAATCTAAGTGCTATTGCTAGGTGCATGGCTCATTATACTTAGGGAAAACCCTAAAAATGAATTAATAAGCAAATTGCCATTGTTACAACTCACCACTAGGTGTAGCTGAGGTTGACCCTCACTAGACGATGTGCAAGACAGAGTATGCGATCCATCTGTGAGACCCATAAAGATGGGTTGCTTTCTTGGATCTAAGGCATTATTGGGGAGCACAGCCATCCACACTTCTGGTGAAGAATGGTAGACAAAAGCCAAGATTAACGTCACACACTTCTTTTGCTGGTTCAGAAAATTTGGATTAAAAATCCACTGACATAAGGCTAATTATAGAACAATAATATAGGCTTCAGCTTATGACCACAATTGACTGCAAAATTTCTGAAACTGAGACATTTGCTAAGTGAGTTTTCCCCCATTTTATGACCCCTCTGTGTTGTTAAGTGAATCATTGCAGTTATTAAGTTAGTAACATAGTTGTGAAGTGAATCTGGATGCTCACTGACTTTGCTTGTCAGAAAGCCGCAAAAGGGGATCACAAGGCCCCAGGACACTGGAACAGTCATAAATATGAGCCAGTTGCCAAGTGTCTGAATTTTGACCATGTGGCCATGGGTATGCTGCAAAGTGTGAAAAACTGTCATAAGTCACTTTTTTCAGTGCCGTTATAACTTTGGTCACTAAATGATATGTTGTAAGTCGAGGATTACCTGTAAACTCGTTAGCATCCAATAGGAACGTATCTGAGACCTCTTTAGAATTGCAGAGGGGGTAGGTGAATTGAGCATATAGCTAGTTTCATTCTCAGTATGCAGTCCACGACTTACAATTCATTTAGTGACAATTCCAAGTTACAACAGCGCTGAAAAAAGTGACATGTTTTCACAGCATCCTCTGGTCACATGATGAAAATTCAGAGCTTTGATAACTCAACTTTATGACGGTTGCAGTGTCCTGGGGTCATGTGATCACCTTTTGTGACCTGACAAGCAAGATTCACTTAACAACTGGGTTACTGACTGAATAATTGCAGTGATTCACTTAATAGCTGTGGCAAGAAAGGTCATAAAAAGGGGCAAAATTCACTTGATATGTCTCACTTAGTATCAGAAATTTTTGGCTCTATTGCAGTCTTAAGTTAAGGACCATGTATAGTAAGATAATACAGCAGTAACTACACAAAAGTTCCTAACCCCTGACACTTCCATTACCCACAATTTTAAAACGTGTCCTCTGACCAATGATGCTTGCCATGCTTGTTACTATCCCATCATGTAGCCACCCAGAAACCCAAACAGACATTAAATGAGAAGCAGAAACTGAGACCAGGAACTATTTTCATTTCTGCTGGAAGATTTCCTCATAGGAGAAGGACAAGAATGCTGCTGAGCTGGCACAGGTGTAGCCTTTAAAAAGGGACTTGTGGAAAGACAGGGAGGCTTTTAGAAGGCAAGGTGTAGTGAGCACTGATAATGCTGTCCTATTTTGGGTAATGAAACATCTGCAGCCAAGGTCAGAGAGCACCAGGGATCACACATTTCAACCCTGAGCTACAAATATTTTCCTTTATTGGAAGTGTAATGGCTGGCAACCAAAGCTATGACAGCATTGGAAGACTTTTAGCAAGGAGGAAATGTTCTAAATTGGACTGAGCAGTGACACACTATTGAGAAGTGGGTACTCTCCAGTGGGACAAAACTCTCAGAAGCAGAACAAACATGATAAGATGAGTGCTGGAGGGAGAGATGAAAATTATGTTTTCCAATGAGAGGGAGAAAGAAAGAGAGAGGGAATGTTTTAGACCTTATCTTAATTCAAAATAAGGGTATGTAGAGTCTGTTGAAATAGATGAGTTTACATGCATGTCAAATCAATATTAAAGAGTTCATAAATGAGCAATTAGAGAACATTTAAGGTGCATAATGTTCAATAGAATTCTTTCTACAATTTAATTTTAAAGCCATGGCTTTATTCCTTCCCTTTTGATTATCAGTAAAAAGAAGCAACAGAAGACAGGATAATTCAGACTTGGCTCATCTAACTATAAATAACTTGCTAGCTCTTGCTAATGGATCAAAAGTAAATAATAATCATCATCCTTATCATCCTTATCATCATCATCATCATCATCATCATCATCATCATCATCATCATCATCA